AGAGCTTAAAATTAGACTTATTTCCAATATTGACTCTGCTACTGATCAGTCCATTGCAGGTGGATTTTGTAAGTGACAATAGAATGCAATGATGAAACTTAACTGTCATTTCATTAATTTCAGTAACTGCTTCTCATACAAAAGGTGAAAACAGCAACATTTGATAAATTAGGGTAATTAAAAAGTATTACTTTGGACTAAAAATTGAAATTGATCAGATTTTAATTTTAAGTCCAGCTGTGGGCAAATTAAAACAAAACTGTCTCTTCACTCACTTACCTGACTGTATTCTGAATACTCTCCAAATCAAATAGCAAGATCACAGTTTAAGATGCAAAACAAAAGTCTCGCAGTTTAAACAGCAAACCGAAGAAGTTCTACAGTTTCAACTACACGCCTGCATAGGGCTACTTTGACAGTTCAAATTAGTTCTTAATTTTGCAGTTTAAACTGTAAAACTTTGAAACAGTCAAAAACTGTCATCTTGTCATACAGTTATATTTGCCACACAATTTCATGCATGATTATGTAGAACTTGTTTACAGATATGTAACAAGTTTGTAAATAATTATGCATTAAAATTGTGCATAATTATGACTGTTTATAATTCTGCATGTTTCTAAACATGTCACAGATTTTGGTTAATGTCACAAAAATAAAAGGTATTCATGAAGAGCCCACTACAAATGGGCTCAGTAGCTCAAACGGTTTTGGAGACATGAATCCCAAAAATTTTGAGGCCAAAATAGCGTATTTCAAAGGTGGTATAGATGGAACTCCACTAATCCTCTGCATTAAGGTAAAAACTGACTACACCTTTCGAAGAAGAAACAAAAGAATCAAAAAGCACCGGGAACAGTATTGATAAACAGATCAAACCATTCACTTTTTCGAGTTTTCTTCACCAAGATAATTATTCTGGACTTCTTGGTGTGCCACAGAGGTGTACAAAAATGATCTACATACTGGTTTTTGTTACTGTTTCCGGTACTTTTTGATTCTTTTCTTTCTTCCCCATTCGGTGGAATGGTCTATTGAGAACTGATTCAAAACCACCTATCGCAAAAAGTTGGATATTTGATTCCTACTGTTCGATCAAAGATATAAAATATAACACTCCTAACAAAATTGGCTGATTGTCAAGAATCACCAAACTTGGTTAGCAACTTCCTCTACAGTAACTTAACATTTTCTAATTATTTTTGAATAGTTTACACTATTTAACTAAACTTTAAAAACACATATTCAAAAACAAATTGAAAATTACCTTTCCACAAAATGTAGAAAGTTTTTAGTGACCATAGAGAAAGTTGCAAACCAAGTATAGTGACACCATCAAATTTTGTAATGAGACATTCAATATTCTACTATTTTTTGTTGATATCTTTGATGGGAGGGTAGGAAACAAAAATTCAACATTTTGCCATTGGTGGTTTGGTTTAAAATCAGTTTTCAATTCTCTTTCCAGCAGTGTAGTTTCTTTTAGCCGACCTGCAAAGTTTTTAAGAGCTTCATCCATACCACCACTCAAACACGCTATTTTGGCTTCAAAATTTTAGGACTTCATTCAAATCCTTAACCGTTTGAGCTGGTGAGAGTCGGATTGTAACCAGAATAAAATGGGAATTACGTTACATTCTGACATTTTATGGTTCCTGATCAAGAGCTATGGGCCATGACCAGTTTTCACCAGTACAACAGAAGAGAAAAAATGACTATCTGAGCTAAACGGGACTGTCTGCAATATTCGCTTTTCTGGGGTTGTGGCAACTTTTTGGCAAAACTTAAATAACAGTGCAAGTAATTTAATTTCTTAAATATTGCCACAGCTCCATGGTAGAGCAAATATTTCCGACAAACCTGGTGGGCTGAGATAGAGCATTTCTTACTTTACTAAAACATGGTGTCGAAAGTTGATGAAGGCCCATAGCTTTTGATATGGAACAAAACAAGTTGGTAACATAATTCCATTACCATTCCATACCTGACTGCAACCACTCTGTATAAAATTAACAATAAGGACATTGTTGATTCTTTGCAAATAGAAACCTTGAAATTTCCTTGCAATGTTGGAAACAATATGGCTCACATACTGCTCGCAAAGACACTGACAGGTTGCACTGGACCCTCTATTTTGTTGAGCATAAACAAGTAGAATTAAAAGCAACCATAATATTATGTGCAATTTCAAGAACAAAGGCGGCCCTCCGATGAACCCATCACTCACCATTTTAGATTTTACTGTTTTAGATGCAGCCAGAGTTGTGCTATAAATGTACTTTGGGAGTATAATAATGCAACTAATACATTTTCACAAATTATGAACATGTTTGATTGACCATTTACGAGTCAACTCATGAATGATGCGCACTGGTGGGTCGCTCATAGACACACCCTAATGCCTGCAAAGTTTGTGAAAATGTATACATTGCAATACTAAACATCCAACTTACATATAACAAACTTGGGCTGCATCAGTAACAGCAAAATCTGAAATGATGGGACGAGTGATGGGTTCCAGGTTTCATTGGAGGGGCACAATAACTAAATACAATTTGTAAATAGTTACGTACAATTTGAACATAATTGCACAGAAAAATGTGTGTACTCATGGCTCAACATAATACATAAAGGTCAAGTGTCTTCACATTTAGGCCTGCTTTCGTAGGAGGCTGGGATCGCTCATCGCTTTTTCGAGTTGAGTTTTACATGCTGCTCGTCGTTTTAGTAATGTACATCGACCTCTAGGACAAATGAAAACGACACTTTCCGTCAAATCGCGAAATTATTTCCATTAGTGAAGTGAAAGTCAGATCCTGGTGTGGCGGGGCCTCGAGTCGAGTTCAGCGACACGGGTTCCGCGAGCATGTCAGGAGGGATTAACGTCAAGTGGCCCCTGGGGGAGCCCTCTCCCCTCTCCCATCCCGACACCCCCTCCGGACGCAGAGTAGGGCGCACGGCACACGTGATCGAGGCCAGGCGCTCATCTCACTGAAACACGCCGCCAAGAAAGCATCCCGGTAAAGCTGAAGTGGAGAAGAATGCGGGGAAGAAGGAAACGGAAATAACTATGCTTTAACATGGTGACTTCCGTTTTCTTCTTCCCCGCATTCTTCTGCAGTTTGGCTTTACGGGGATGCTTCATACGCTGCAAATACTCGCTCACTTCACTCGCGGAGCCATCAACCCGTAACTCATGGTACTCTATCGAAAGTGCTCCCTCCAACTCGCACTACTCCAACTCGCTCACTCGTCGTGCGTACAGCGAGCGCAATGAGGTACTTTAGCACACAAGGAATTTAACATGGGGGATGGCCGACGTCTGCTCCTGGACCAAAACTACGCGCACGGTTCCTCGCTTATCTCCGCTATGGGGTCTCGTATCATTTCAATAGACCCTTTCGAAATCAGCGAAGTGAAGAGCAAGGTGAAGAACAGGCAGGAAACAGTTGCTTTTACTAACCCAAACGTTCATGAAAACTTGCATAAATTGTAAACATTACCAACATGATACGACCTACATTTTGTTCAAGTGTTTTGGGTACTATGTGTCCAGAAAGAATTGACCCTGCCTGAGTCGATACCCCGCGCTCCGGGCGCGGCAGACAGTCGGGCGCAGGCCGGCGCAGGCTGCACTGTTGCCGACGTGCTCGGGGGCTCGGGGTCCGGGGGGGTTGCGGG